GCTAGGCTGCTGGGGTATGGGGGAGTTTAAGGAGTAGCTATTTATGAAAAGTTGTTAGCCTAACAACAACAAAAAAAGCACACTGAATGAAATTATGAAGTTGTGTGAATTGCACAATTTGCCGCAAGCGGAGATAGAATTTACTTTTTTTTTTTAATCTAAACTCGATTTAGCTGAAAGTGTGCATTGCAATTAGAGTTATGTAGGTATTAATCCTACGTTAATCAAATTGAGTGTTATGTACCCAATTTTCTTTTAAGTACCCGTAATTCTGAGTTGACAACATGTTTCTTTTACTTCCTCCCATTACACTCCTGACTCAGTGACGGTGTGTAGCACAGTTGTCGTGGGAGACAGACGCCAGGGGACTATTCATCTTGGGAAATCTGAAGTTGCAAAAGCAGCGTTATGGTTATTTAAAACACGTTATCTCACAAATTAACGATAATATTTTGGGGTCTGCATTTTTATTCAACTTGAAAAAAAGACTTTTCAAGGGAGATAAATGTTAAATATCTCTCTATATATCTGAGATGAAGTATTATGTACACTATTTACATTGTCCGGTCTATCATCTTCATCTTTGTTGCCATATTTATTACAACGTTTCGGCCGCTGTACGCTCCGGCCTTCTTCAAGTTCTCCACTGCCTTAACCGAGTATTGAACTCACACATTTGGGTACTGTCACTGGATCTAACCAACGCCTTTATCCACTCTGCCTTGGAGAGGGGAGTTAACAGAAGATAACCGACAACTGACATCCATTAAACATGGCACGTGGAACTAGAAAAGTTTACCCCAGTGAGCGGAATACAGGGTTCAGTTCGACATTCCAACCACCTGAAGAAATTAAATGATAATATTTTTCTCGATCATAACTTTGTGTCATTATATTTACAAAGAAAAAATATATTTTTAATATTAATATGTCATCATCACTCCACATCTCACAGGATTTGTAACGATCAAGTCACGAGTGATCAGTGGTCGTTTAAATTTTCAGTCACAGTGAAACGAATGTAAAAGATGTAAATCAAACTTTACAAATTTAACAAATAGCTATTTTGGTAGCAAAAAAAAAAAAAAAATTAAATCACAAAGCAATTTTGCTATAGAATGTTTACCAATTTAGTTGGATAGAATTTACTTGGGCGTATATTCATTTCTTTCTCAAATAAAAAATGAATATTTTTTTCTGAAACTGAACATAGTTTACAGATTCAAAAACCAGTTCGAAGTGTCTCAAATAAAAATTACAAAAATATTCCTTTTTAGCCATTTTAATCATTTTGCTTGAAACTAAAACAGCTTTTTATCTGCAACTCCAGTTTCGCATGGCTTTATAATAATATTGCTTTGTTTCAAGGAAATAAAAAGTGAATATTATCGAAAAAAGCACAAAATTTAAATCTGCTACTTCAATAAATTTAGACTGGGTTTGGCATCATCCACGCCAATTTTATTCCAGAGGCGAAAAAATTTCAAATTAGTATTGCTTCCTATTTTATCTTTATTCGAAAGTTTATCGATCAGTCCATTTCCTGATACTATCAATATCAATTTATTTTACCGTAAAACTTTCTGTTTATCTTTATCCACATTAGTTATTTTGTGTATGTAAAAAATGTTTTCCCGGCTCTTTAAAATTGTTCATTTGATCTATGTCCGAAAATATCTACTTGGCTGTATTTGTATTTAGTTCTTTATTTCTTTCTATGCTCCCCACTCGAAACAGATGGTGACATCACTAATTTAGAAACAAAAGTTTATTCGTCTAAAAACAATGGATATCTTATTTATGGTGAGGGGACAAACTAATTACCTGAAGTTTTAAAGAGCCTTGATTTCCCATTCTGAAATGACTTGGTAAATAAAAGAATCCTTACACAGAATATAGTTGATTTGTTTGTTCCTTTAACTGATATATGTTTTAATATGAATTATTTAGGCATAATACTATATTAATTTATTAGGTTCAATCACAAGTATTTCCCATTTTGGCAAACCAATTGAAATGATAAATATAGGATCCTAACTAATAATCATGAAGAAATATGTCCTTTCCTCTCTGACAACGCAAAGTCATATAAAGCACGTATAACACACGACAAAACTTTGGAAATCAATTGATCTATTTTATCCAACCCGCCATATTCACCTTAAATTAAATAGAAGGGTAAACGCTAGACTTAGTTGGTAATAAGTCTAAAAGAAAGATTCTAAATTCAAATCTGTGAAAAGGCAACGGGAAACCTTTCCACTATCTCCGTCACGAAAGAATGGCAGCTCAAAAATAAAAAATGGTATATATGAAGAATCGTGATCACCTGAAGTCTTGGACACATATCAATATCGCTTCAGTAGTTATGGATTCAATTGTCTATAATTCACTTTTGTTCCCTATCTTCGGCATAGGATCATGCTTAAAGATTATTACGATGGGACAAGACACAGAAAAATCTGGATGAATATCTTTCGCATAAATGGTCATATATGTCATAAGTAATTTCCATTTTGGGGGAACCATTTGAAATTATGAAAGTCTCATTCTAATTACTATTCACACGTGACAGTTAAGAGAAAATTTGTAATAAACTGATATTCAACAATGTTCAACGCAAAAGGCAGTGGATTGACAAGGATAAATCTTCATATTTCGAGTTCTTAAAATGCAGTGAAACGTATAAATGTACATTTATGCGTCCAAAAGCTGCAAAATGGCGATAAAAGTTTGGTGGAAAGGCGCCCTCCGATCGACAACAAGAAAAATGTTTTCCCCCTCCATGACAACACAGAACTGCATGAAACTAGAATAACAGCAGAATAAAATTAGAATTAAGTTCATCTTTCGCTCATATTCACCTGACCTTGAACCAACCGCGACTATTATATTTTTTGATCGTCTGGAAATATAATTTTTGAGATCGATGGCGGACATTTTGCAAGTTAATTTACATGGATTTTTATTTCAATGATCCAAGCATCGGCAAGATTAAATGATTTCGTTCAAACCCCTCGCCACCGCATAATGTGTATTGGGTATCGCACACTTCCTCGCCACCGCATCATGTGTATTGGGTATGGCACACTTCTCGCCACGACATCTGACTTCCTCGTCACCGCATCATGTGTAATGGCACACTTCCTCGCCACCGCATCATTGTATTGGGTGTGGCACTTCCTCGTCACTGCATTTTATGGCACACTTCCTCGTCACCGCATCTGGATTAATTATAATTCCTCGCCACCGCATCATTTTGGGTGGATCGATGGCGGACACTTTTGCAAGTTAATTTACACTTCCTGAAAACGCATCATGTTTTTATTTTCCTGAAATCACATCATCACTTCTTCGCCACGGCATCAAGATTAAATGATTTCGTTCAAACCCCTCGTCACTGCATCATGTGTATTACTTTGGGTACTTCCTCGCCACCGCATCATCCTCGACACGCATCATGTGTATTAATTTAGCACACTTCCTCGCCACCGCATCATATGTATTGGGTATTGCACACTTCCTCGTCGTGGGGGTGGCACACCGCATCATGTCTATTGGGTATGGCACATTCCACGACACCGCATCATGTGTATTAATTATGGCACACTTCCTCGCCACCGCATCATGTGTATTGGGTATTACACTTCCTCGTCACCGCATCATTGGGTGTGCACACTTCCTCGTCACCGCATCATGTGTATTGGGTATGGCACACTTCCTCGTCACCGCATCATGTGTATTGGGTATGCGCACTTCCTCGACACCGCATCATGTGTATGGCACACTTCCTCGCAAACGCATCATGTGTATTGGGTATGGCACTTCCTCGTCACATCATGTGTATTGGGTATGGCACACTTCCTCGCCACCGCATCATGTGTATTGGGTATGGCACACTTCCTCGTCACTGCATCATGTGTATTGGGTGTGGCTCTTCCTCGTCACCCACATCATGTGTATTGGGTATGGCACACTTCCTCGCCACCATCATGTCATTGGGTGTGGCACACTTCCTCGCCACCGCATCATGTATTGTGGGTGGCACACTTCCTCGTCACCGCATCGTGTGTATTGGGTATGGCACACTTCCTCGCCACCGCATCATGTGTATTGGGTGTGGCACACTTCCTCGTCACTGCATCATGTGTATTGGGTATGGCACACTTCCTCGTCACCACATCATGTGTATTGGGTATGGCACACTTCCTCGCCACCGCATCATGTGTATTGGGTGTGGCACACTTCCTCGTCACTGCATCATGTGTATTGGGTATGGCACACTTCCTCGTCACCACATCATGTGTATTGGGTATGGCACACTTCCTCGCCACCGCATCATGTGTATTGGGTATGGCACACTTCCTCGTCACTGCATCATGTGTATTGGGTATGGCACACTTCCTCGTCACCACATCATGTGTATTGGGTATGGCACACTTCCTCGCCACCGCATCATGTGTATTGGGTGTGGCACACTTCCTCGTCACCGCATCATGTGTATTGGGTATGGCACACTTCCTCGTCACCGCATCGTGTGTATTGGGTGTGGCACACTTCCTCGCCACCGCATCATGTGTATTGGGTATGGCACACTTCCTCGTCACCGCATCATGTGTATTGGGTATGGCACACTTCCTCGCCACCGCATCATGTGTGTGGGTGTGGCACACTTCCTCGTCACTGCATCATGTGTATGGCACACTTCCTCGTAACCACATCATGTGTATTGGGTATGGCACACTTCCTCGCCACCGCATCATGTGTATTGGGTGTGCACACTTCCTCGTCACTGCATCATGTGTATTGGGTGTGGCTCTTCCTCGTCACCACATCATGTGTATTGGGTGTGGCACACTTCCTCCCCACCGCATCATGTGTATTGGGTGCACACTTCCTCGTCACTGCATCATGTGTATTGGGTGTGGCACACTTCCCTCGTCACCGCATCATGTGTATTGAGTGGCACCCTTCCTCGTCCTGCATCATGTGTATTGGGTATGGCACACTTCCTCGCCACCGCATCATGTGTATTGGGTGTGGCACACTTCCTCGTCACTGCATCATGTGTATTGGGTATGGCTTTGCTTCCTCGCCACCGCATCATGTGTATTGGGTGTGGCACACTTCCTCGTCACTGCATCATGTGTATTGGGTATAGCACACTTCCGTCACCACATCATGTGTATTGGGTATGGCACTTCCTCGCCACCGCATCATGTGTATTGGTGGCACACTTCCTCGTCACTGCATCATGTGTGGGTATGGCACTCTTCCTCGTCACCACATCATGTGTATTGGGTGTGGCACACTTCCTCGCCACCGCATCATGTGTGTGGGTGTGGCACACTTCCTCGTCACTGCATCATGTGTATTGGGTATGGCACTCTTCCTCGTCACCACATCATGTGTATTGGGTATGGCACACTTCCTCGCCACCGCATCATGTGTATTGGGTGTGGCACACTTCCTCGTCACTGCATTGGGTATTGGCACTCTTCCTCGTCACTGCATCATGTGTATTGGGTGTGGCACACTTCCTCGTCACTGCATCATGTATTGGGTATGGCACACTTCCTCGCCACCGCATCATGTGTATTGGGTGTGGCACACTTCCTCGTCACTGCATCATGTGTATTGGGTATGGCACACTTCCTCGTCACCACATCATGTGTATTGGGTATGGCACACTTCCTCGTCACCACATCATGTGTATTGGGTATGGCACTCTTCCTCGTCACCACATCATGTGTATTGGGTATGGCACACTTCCTCGCCACCGCATCATGTGTATTGGGTGTGGCACACTTCCTCGTCACTGCATCAAGTGTATTGGGTATGGCACTCTTCCTCGTCACTGCATCATGTGTATTGGGTGTGGCACCTTCCTCGTCACTGCATCATGTGTGTTGGGTACACTTCCTCGCCACCGCATCATGTGTGGGTGTGGCACACTTCCTCTTCACTGCATCATGTGTATTGGGTATGGCACACTTCCTCGTCCTGCATCATGTGTATTGGGTATGGCACAATTCCTCGCCACCGCATCATGTGTATTGGGTGTGGCACACTTCCTCGTCACTGCATCATGTGTATTGGGTGTGGCACACTTCCTCGTCACCACATCATGTGTATTGGGTATGGCACACTTCCTCGCCACCGCATCATGTGTATTGGGTGTGGCACACTTCCTCGTCACTGCATCATGTGTATTGGGTATGGCACACTTCCTCGTCACTGCATCATGTGTATTGGGTGTGGCACACTTCCTCGTCACTGCATCGTGTGTATTGGGTATGGCACACTTCCTCGCCACCACACCATGTGTATTGGGTATGGCACACTTCCTCGCCACCGCATCATGTGTATTGGGTATGGCACTCTTCCTCGTCACCACATCATGTGTATTGGGTATGGCACACTTCCTCGCCACCGCATCATGTGCATTGGGTGTGGCACACTTCCTCGTCACTGCATCATGTGTATTGGGTATGGCACACTTCCTCGTCACCGCATCATGTGTATTGGGTGTGGCACACTTCCTCGTCACTGCATCATGTGTATTGGGTATGGCACACTTCCTCGCCACCGCATCATGTGTATTGGGTGTGGCACACTTCCTCGTCACTGCATCATGTGTATTGGGTATGGCACACTTCCTCGTCACCACATCATGTATTGGGTATGGCACACTTCCTCGCCACCGCATCATGTGTGTTATTGGGTGTGGCACACTTCCTTGTCACTGCATCATGTGTATTGGGTATGGCACACTCGTCACCACATCTGGCACACTTCCTCGCCACCGCATCATGTGTATTGGGTGGCACACTTCTCGTCACTGCATCATGTGTATTGGGTATGGCACACTTCCTTCCACCGCATCACCGCACTTCCTCGTCATGCATCATATTGTTGGGTATGGCACTTCCTCGTCACTGCATCATGTGTATTGGGTGTGGCACACTTCCTCGTCACGCATCGTGTATTGGGTGTGCACACTTCCTCGCCACCACACCATGTGTATTGGGTATGGCACTTCCTCGCCACCGCATCGTGTTGGGTATGGCACTCTTCCTCGTCACCACATCATGTGTGTTGGGTATGGCACACTTCCTCGCCACCGCATCATGTGCATTGGGTGTGGCACTTCCTCGTCACTGCATCATGTGTATTGGGTGTGGCACACTTCCTCGTCACCGCATCATGTGCATTGGGTGTGGCACACTTCCTCATCACTGCATCATGTGTATTGGGTATGCTTCACTTCCTCGCCACCGCATCATGTGTATTGGGTGTGGCACACTTCCTCGTCACTGCATCATGTGTATTGGGTATGGCACACTTCCTCGTCACCACATCATGTGTATTGGGTATGGCACACTTCCTCGCCACCGCATCATGTGTATTGGGTGTGTGGCACTTCCTCGTCACTGCATCATGTGTATTGGGTATGGCATACTTCCTCGTCACCACATCATGTGTATTGGGTATGGCACACTTCCTCGCCACCGCATCATGTGTGTGGGTGTGGCACACTTCCTCGTCACTGCATCATGTGTGTGGGTATGGCACACTTCCTCGTCACCACATCATGTGTATTGGGCTTGGCACACTTCCTCGCCACCGCATCATGTGTATTGGGTATGGCACACTTCCTCGTCACTGCATCATGTGTATTGGGTGTGGCACACTTCCTCGTCACTGCATCATGTGTATTGGGTATGGCACACTTCCTCGCCAACGCATCATGTGTATTGGGTATGGCACACTTCCTCGCAAACGCATCATGTGTATTGGGTATGGCACACTTCCTCGCCACCACATCATGTGTATTGGGTATGGCACACTTCCTCGCCAACGCATCATGTGTATTGGGTATGGCACACTTCCTCGCCACCGCATCATGTTTATTGGGTATTGCACACTTCCTCCACACCGCATCATGTGTATTGTGTATGGCACACTTCCTCGCAAACGCATCATGTGTATTGGGTATGGCACACTTCCTCGCAAACGCATCATGTGTATTGGGTATGGCACACTTCCTCGAAAACGCATCATGTGTATTGGGTATGGCACACTTCCTCGCCACCGCATCATGTGTATTGGGTATTGCACACTTCCTCGTCACCGCATCGTGTGTATTGGGTATGGCACACTTCCTCGCCACCGCATCATGTGTATTGGGTGTGGCACACTTCCTCGTCACTGCATCATGTGTATTGGGTATGGCACACTTCCTCGTCACCACATCATGTGTATTAATTATAGCACACTTCCTCGCCACCGCATCATGTCTATTGGGTATGGCACACTTCCTCGACACCGCATCATGTGTATTGTGTATGGCACACTTCCTCGCAAACGCATCATGTGTATTGGGTATGGCACACTTCCTCGCCACCGCATCATGTGTATTGGTGTGCACACTTCCTCGTCACCGCATCGTGTGTATTGGGTATGGCACACTTCCTCGCCACCGCATCATGTGTATTGGGTGTGGCACACTTCCTCGTCACTGCATCATGTGTATTGGGTATGGCACACTTCCTCGTCACCACATCATGTGTAGTAGGTATGGCACACTTCCTCGTCACCACATCATGTGTATTGGGTATGGCACTCTTCCTCGTCACCACATCATGTGTATTGGGTATGGCACACTTCCTCGCCACCGCATCATGTGTATTGGGTGTGGCATCACTGCATCAAGTGTATTGGGTATGGCACTCTTCCTTCACTGCATCATGTATTGGGTGTGGCACACTTCCTCGTCACTGCATCATGTATTGGTGTGGCACACTTCTCGCCACCACATCATGTGTATTGGGTGTGGCACACTTCCTCTTCACTGCATCATGTGTATTGGGTATGGCACACTTCCTCGTCACTGCATCATGTGTATTGGGTATGGCACACTTCCTCGCCACCGCATCATGTGTATTGGGTGTGGCACTTCCTCGTCACTGCATCATGTGTATTGGGTGTGGCACACTTCCTCGTCACCGCATCATGTGTATTGGGTATGGTACACTTCCTCGTCACTGCATCATGTGTATTGGGTGTGGCACACTTCCTCGTCACTGCATCATGTGTATTGGGTGGCACACTTCCTCGTCACTGCATCATGTGTATTGGGGCACACTTCCTCGTCACATCGTGTCATGTGTATGGCACACACTCCTCGCCACCACACCATGTGTATTGGGTATCCTCGCCACCGCATCATGTGTATTGGGTATGGTACTCTTCCTCGTCACCACATCATGTGTGGGTATGGCACACTTCTCGCCACCGCATCATTGGGTGTGGCACACTTCCTCGTCACTGCATCATGTGTATTGGGGTGGCACTTCCTCGTCACCGCATCATGTGCATTGGGTGTGGCACTTCCTCGTCACTGCATCATGTGTATTGGGTATGGCACACTTCCTCGCCACCGCATCATGTGTATTGGGTGTGGCACACTTCCTCGTCACTGCATCATGTGTATTGGGTATGGCACACTTCCTCGTCACCACATCATGTGTATTGGGTATGGCACACTTCCTCGCCACCGCATCATGTGTATTGGGTGTGGCACACTTCCTTGTCACTGCATCATGTGTATTGGGTATGGCACTTCCTCGTCACCACATCATGTGTGTGGGTATGGCACTTCCTCGCCACCGCATCATGTGTATTGGGTGTGGCACATCTCGTCACTGCATCATGTGTGTTGGGTACACTTCCTTCCCACCGCATCATGTGTATTGGGTGCGGCACACTTCCTCGTCACCGCATCATGTGTGTATTGGGTATGGCACACTTCCTCGTCACTGCATCATGTGTATTAGGTGTGGCACACTTCTCGTCACTGCATCGTGTGTCTTGGGTATGGCACACTTCCTCTACCACCACACCATGTATTGGGTATGGCACACTTCCTCGCCACCGCATCATGTGTATTGGGTATGGCACTCTTCCTCGTCACCACATCATGTGTATGGGGCACACTTCCTCGCCCACCGCATCATGTGCATTGGGTGGCACACTTCCTCGTCACTGCATCATGTGTATTGGGTATGGCACACTTCCTCGTCACCGCATCATGTGCATTGGGTGTGGCACACTTCCTCGTCACTGCATCATGTGTATTGGGTATGGCACACTTCCTCGCCACCGCATCATGTGTGTGGGGTGGCACACTTCCTCGTCACTGCATCATGTGTATTGGGTGGCACACTTCCTCGTCACCACATCATGTGTATTGGGCATGGCATCACACTTTCTCGCCACCGCATCATGTGTATTGGGGTGGCACACTTCCTCGTCACTGCATCATGTGTATTGGCATGGCACTTCCTCGTCACCACATCATGTGTATTGGGTATGGCACTTCCTCGCCACCGCATCATGTGTATTGGGTGGCACACTTCCTCGTCACTGCATCATGTGTATTGGGTATGGCACACTTCGTCACCACATCATGTGTATTGGGTGGCACTTTCGCCACCGCATCATGTGTATTGGGTATGGCACACTTCCTCGTCACTGCATCATGTGTATTGGGTGTGGCACACTTCCTCGTCACTGCATCGTGTGTATTGGGTATGGCACACTTCCTCGCCACCACACCATGTGTGTGGGTATGGCACACTTCCTCGCAAACGCATCATGTGTATTGGGTGCACTTCCTCGCCACCACATCATGTTTATTGGGTATGCACACTTCCTCGCCAACGCATCATGTGTATTGGGTATGGCACACTTCCTACTGCATCATGTTTATTGGGTATTGCACACTTCCTCCACACCGCATCATGTGTATTGTGGCACACTTCCTCGAAAACGCATCATGTGTATTGGGTGTGGCACACTTCCTCGCAAACGCATCATGTGTATTGGGTATTCATGGGTATGGCACACTTCCTCGCCACCGCATCATGTTTATGGGGTATGGCACACTTCCTCGTCACCGCATCGTGTGTGTCTATGGCACACTTCGCCACCGCATCATGTCTATTGGGTATGGCACACTTTCGCCACCGCCACCTTCCCTCGTCACCACATCATGTTTGCACACTTCCTCGCCACCGCATGTCTATTGGGTATGGCACACTTCCTCGACACCGCATCATTGGGTGTGGCTTCCTCGCAATCGCATCATTGTATTGGGTATGGCACACTTCCTCGCCACCGCATCATGTTTTTAATTATTGCACACTTCCTCGTCACCGCATCGTATTGTGTATTAGGTATGGCACACTTCCTCGCATCACCACATCGTCATCTGCATCATGTTATTGGGTTGGCACACTTCCTCGTCACCACATCATGTGTGGCACACTTCCTCGCCACCGCATCATGTCATTAGGTGTCTGCACCTTGTCGTCACCACATCATGTGTGTTGGGTATGGCACACTTCCTCGTCACATCATGTGCATTATTGGGTGTGGCACCTTCCTCGTCATGCATCATGTGTGGTGGCACACATTCATCTCGCCACCACTTCATCATGTGTATTGGGTATGGCACACTTTCTCACTCACCGCATCATGTGTATTGGGGCACTTCCTCGTCTGCATCGCATCATGTGCATGCATGCACACTTTGTCGCCACCGCATCATGTGTATTCCTCGGCACACCACATCATGTGTGTATTGGGTATGGCACACTTCCTCGTCACCACATCATGTGTATTGGGTATGGCACCTTCCCTCGCCACCGCATCATGTGTATGTGGCACACTTCCTCGTCACCATCATGTGTGTTGGGTATGGCACACTTCCTCGTCACCACATCATGTGTATTGGGTATGGCACACTTCCTCGACACTGCATCATGTGTATTGGGTGTAGCATCGTCACTGCATCATGTGTATTGGGTCTTCCTCGCCACCACATCATGTGTTTTGGGTATGGCACTTCTTCGCCACCGCATCATGTGTATTGGGCCACTTCCTCGTCACTGCATGTGTATTGGGTGTGGCACTTCTCGTCAACGCATCACACTCGAAAACGCATCATGTGTCCTGGTACACTTCCTCGCCACCGCATCATGTGTATTGGGTATGGCACACTTCGCAAACGCATCATGTGTATTCACCACTTCCTCGAAAACGCATCATGTGTGGAATTGGGTCCTGGCATCATGTGGGTTCCACTTCAAACGCATCATGTGTATTGGGCACACTTCCTCGAAAACGCATCATGTATTGGAGATGGCACACTTCCTCGAAACGCATCATGTGTATTTTGTGGCACACTTCCTCGAAAACGCATCACTTGGGTATGGCACACTTCCTCCAAACGCATCATGTGTATTGGGTATGGCACACTTCCTCGAAAACGCATCATGTGTATTGAGATTGCACACTTCCTCGCCACCGCATCATGTTTGTGGGGCTTTGCACTTCCTCGCCACCACATCATGTGTATTGGGTTGGCACCTTCCTCGCCACCGCATCATGTGTATTGGGTATTGCACACTTCCTCGACACCGCATCATGTGTATTGTGTATGGCACACTTCCTCGCAAACGCATCATGTGTATTGGGTATGGCACACTTCCTCGCAAACGCATCATGTGTATTGGGTATGGCACACTTCCTCGAAAACGCATCATGTGTATTTGGCACTTCCTCAAAACGCATCATGTGTATTGGGTTCACTTCCTCGCCACCACATCATGTGTGGGTATGGCACACTTCCTCGCCACCGCATCATGTGTGTTGGGTATTGCACACTTCCTCGTCACCGCATCATGTGTATTTGTATGGTCGCAAACGCATCATGTGTATTGGGTATGGCACACTTCCTCGTCACTGCATCATGTGTGGGTGGCGGCACACTTCCTCGCCACCGCATCATGTGTATTGGGTGTTGCACTCTTCCTCGTCACCGCATCGTGTGTGTATTGGCACACTTCCTCGCCACGCATCATGTCATGGCACACTTCCTTCACTGCATCATGTGTATTGGGTATGGCACTTCCTCGTCACCACATCATCATAGCACACTTCCTCGCCACCGCATCATGTGTATTTGTGGCACACTTCCTCCATCATGTGTATTGGGTATGGCACACTTCCCACCGCATCATGTTTGGGTGGCACTCTTCCTCGTCACCACATCATGTGTATTGGGTATGGCACACTTCCTCGCCACCGCATCATGTGCATGGCACACTTCCTCGTCACTGCATCATGTGTATTGGGTACACTTCCTCTCGTCACCGCATCATTGGGTGTGGCACTTCCTCACACTGCATCATGTGTATTGGGTGGAACACTTCCTCGCCACCGCATCATTGTGAGCACACTTCCTCGGCATCATGTGTATTGGGTACACACTTCCTCGTCACTGCATCATGTGTATTGGGTATGGCACACTTCCTCGTCACACATCATGTGTATTGGGTATGGCACACTTCCTCGCCACCGCATCATCATGTGTATTGGGTATGGCACTTCCTCGTCACTGCATCATGTCATGGTTCCTCGTCACCACATCATGTGTATTGGGTATGGCACACTTCCTCGACACCGCATCATGTGTATTGGGTATGGCACACTTCCTCGTCACTGCATCATGTGTTTCGTTACCACATCATGTGTATGGCACACTTCCTCGAAACCGCATCATGTGTATTGGGTGCGCATACTTCCTCACTGCATCATGTATTGGGTATGGCACACTTCACCGCATCATGTGGCACTTCTCGAAAACGCATCATGTGTGTTGGATGGCACTTCCTCGTCACTGCATCATGTGTATTGGGTGTGGCACACTTCCTCGAAACCGCATCATGTGTATTGGTTATGGCACCTTCTCGCAACCGCATCATGTGTATTGGGTATGGAACACTTCCTCGAAAACGCATCATGTATTGGTGTGCACACTTCCTCGAAAACGCATCATGTGTATTGGCGGCACACTTCCTCGAAAACGCATCATGTGTGCACATACTTCCTCGCACTTCCACATCATGTATTGGGTATGGCACACTTCCTCGAAAACGCATCATGTGTGTGAGGTGTGCACACTTCCTCGCCACCCGCATCATGTGTATTGGGTATGGCACACTTCCTCGCCACCGCATCATGTGTATTTATGGCACACACCGTTCTCGTGTATTGCGGCCGCATGGGCGGCCACTCGTGCATCATTGGGTATGGCACTTCCTCGACACCGCATCATGTGTATTGGTATGGCACACTTCCTCGACCGCATCATGTGTAAACGCACATTCTCGTCACTGCATCATGTATTGGTATGGCACACTTCCTCGCCAACGCATCATGTGTATTGGCACATGGCACATGTGTCCTCGCCACCGCATCATGTGTATTGGGTATGGGAGATGTTGTGGCACACTTCCTCGTCAACGCATCATGTGTATTGGGGTATGGCACACTTCCTCGCCACCGCATCATGTGTATGGGTATGGCACACTTCCTCGCAAACGCATCATGTGTATTGGGTATGGCACTTCTCCTCGCCATGTGTATTCGACACCGTCACTGCATCATGTGTATTGGGTATGGCACACTTCCTCGCCACCGCATCATGTGGGTATGGCACACTTCTCGGGTATGGCACACTTCCTCGTCACCGCATCGTGTGTGTGGGCATCAGGTTTGGCACACTCGCCACCGAAAAACGCATCACTGCATGTGTATTGGGTATGGCACACTTCACCGCATCATGTGTATTGGTACGGCACACTTCATCGCCACCGCATCATGTCTGTGGTATGGCACACTTCTCGCCACCGCATCATGTGTATTGTGTATGGCACACTTCCTCGCCAACGCATCATGTGTATTGGGTATGGTACACTTCCTCGCCACCGCATCATGTGTATGTCTGGGTATGGCACACTTCCTCGCCACCGCATCATGTGTATTAACAGCACTTCCTCGTCACCGCATCATGTGTTTATTGCACTTCCTCGCCACCGCATCATGTGTATTAATTATGGCACTTCCTCGTCACCGCATAATGTCTCACTTCCTCGTCACCGCATCATGTGTATTGGGTATTGCACACTTCCTCGCCACCACATCATGTATTTGTATGGCACACTTCCTCGTCACTGCATCATGTGTGTTGTGTATGGCGGCACTTCCTCGCCACCGCATCATGTGTATTGGGTATGGCACACTTCCTCGCCACCACATCATGTCTATTGTGTATGGCACACTTCCTCGCCACCGCATCATGTCTATTGTGTTGTCACCACATCATGTATTAATTATAGCACTCTCGCCACCACATCATGTCTATTGTATGGCACACTTCCTCGCCACCGCATCATGTCTATTGTGTATGGCACACTTCCTCGCCACCGCATCATGTCTATTGTGTATGGCACACTTCCTCGCCACCCCATCATGTCTATTGTGTATGGCACACTTCCTCGCCACCGCATCATGTCTATTGTGTATGGCACACTTCCTCGCCACCGCATCATGTCATTTGTATGGCACACTTCCTCGCCACCGCATCATGTCTATTGTGTATGGCACACTTCCTCGCCACCACATCATGTCTATTGTGTATGGCACACTTCCTCGCCACCGCATCATGTGTATTGGGTATGGCACACTTCCTCGCCACCGCATCATGTCTATTGTGTATGGCACACTTCCTCGCCACCGCATCATGTCTATTGTGTATGGCACACTTCCTCGCCACCACATCATGTCTACATCATGTTTTGTATTGGGATGGCACACTTCCTCGCCACCGCATCACTTCCTCGCCACCGCATCATGTTTATTGGGTATGGCACACTTCCTCGCCACCGCATCATGTCTATTGTGTATGGCACACTTCCTCGCCACCACATCATGTCTGTGTGGCGGCACACTTCTCTCGCCACCGCATCATGTCTATTGGGTATGGCACACTTCCTCGCCACCGCATCATGTCTATTGGGTATGGCACACTTCCTCGTCACCGCCATCATGTGTCTATTGTGTATGCACACTTCCTGCCACCACATCATGTCTATTGGGTGGCACACTTGGCCACCACATCTTGGCACACTTCCTCGCCACCACATCATGTCTATTGTGTATGGCACACTTCACCTGTCACCACCACATGTCTATTGGGTATGGCACACTTCCTCGCCACCGCATCATGTCCACACTTCCTCGCCACCACATCATGCGTTGTGTATGGCACACTTCCTCGCCACCGCATCATGTCTATTGTGTATGGCACACTTCCTTGCCACCGCATCATGTTTATTGGGTGGCACACTTCCTCGTCACCGCATCATGTGGGGTATGGCTCCTCCTCGCCACCACATCATGTCTATTGTGGTGGCACTCGTCACCACATCATGTCTATTTCCTCGCCACCAGGCGGCACACTTCCTCGCCACCACATCATGTGTATTGGGTATGGCACACTCCCACCGCATCATGTTTATTGTATGGCTTCGCCACCGCATCATGTCTATTGTGTTCCTCGCCACCGCATCATGTTTTGGCACACTTCCTGGCATCATGTTTGTGCGGCACACTTCCTCGCCACCACATCATGTCTGTGCACACTTCCTCGCCACCGCATCATGTGTATTCGGTGTGGCACACTTCCTCGCCACATGTTTTCATCATGTTTATGTGTGTGGGTCCTCGCATGGCACACCACCGCATCATGTCTATTGGTATGGTGGCACACTTCCTCGCCACTGCATCATGTGTCTATTGGGTGTGGCACACTTCCTCGCCACCACATCATGTGTATGGGGTATGGCACTTCCTCGCATCCACCACATCATGTGTATTGGGTATGGCACACTTCCTCGCCACCACATCATGTCTGTTGGGTATGGCACACTTCTCGCATCACCACATCATGTCTGTTGGTGGCACACTTCCTCGCCACCACATCATGTTTATGGGGCATGGCACACTTCCTCCCACCGCATCATGTGTATTGGGTATGGCACTTCCTCGCCACCACATCATGTTTATTGGGTATGGCACACTTCCTCGTCACCGCATCATGTGTATTGGGTATGGCACACTTCCTCGCCACCACATCATGTGTATTGGGTATGGCACACTTCCTCGCCACCACATCATGTGCATTGGGTATGGCACACTTCCTCGTCACCACATCATGTGTATTGGTATGGCACACTTCCTCGCCACCACATCATGTTTATTGGTATGGCACACTTCCTCGCCACCACATCATGTCTATTGGGTATTTCTTCGCCACCACCATCATGTGTATGTATTGGGTATGGCACACTTCCTCGCCACCACATCATGTCATTGTGTATGGCACACTTCCTCGCCACCACATCATGTTTATTGGGTATGGCACACTTCCTCGCCACCGCATCATGTTTATTGACCCTCGGCACCGCATCATGTGTATGGGGTACACTTCCTCGCCACCATCATCATGTGTATTGGGTATGGCACACTTCCTCGCCACCACATCATGTTTATGGGGTATGGCACACTTCCTCGCCACCACATCATGTTTATGGGGTATGACACACTTCCTCGCCACCACATCATGTATTGGGTATGACACACTTCCTCGCCACCACATCATGTGTATTGGGTATGGAACACTTGCCATACAACATCATGTGCATTGGTATGGCTCATCATACGTCACCACATTGTGTATGGCACACTTCCTCGCCACCGCATCATGTGTCTATTGGGTATGGCACACTTCCTGGCCACCACATCATTTCTATTGTATCCTCATCACCGCATCTGTATTGGGTATGGCACACTTCCTCGCCACCACATCATGTTGTGTATGGCACTTCCTCGCCACCCGCATCATGTCTATGGTAACACTTCCTCGCCACCACATCATGTCTATTGTGTATGGCACACTTCCTCGCCACCGCATCATGTCTATTGTGTATGGCACACTTCCTTGCCACCGCATCATGTCTATTGTATATGGCATGTTTAACTTCCTCGCCACCACATCATGTGTATTGTGTATGGCACACTTCCTCGCCACCGCATCATGTGTCTATTGTGTATGGCACACTTTCGCCACCACATCATGTCTATTATTGTATGGCACACTTCCTCGCCACCGCCTTCATGTCTGTGTGGGGGTATGGCACACTTCCTCGCCACCGCATCATGTCTGTATGTATGGCACACTTCCTCGTCACCGCATCATGTGTATTGGGGATGGCACACTTCTCGCCACCGCATCATGTCTATGTGTATGGCACACTTCCTCGTCACCACATCATGTGTGTGGGTATGGCACACTTCCTCGCCACCACATCATGTTTATTGGGTATGCACTTCCTCGCCACCACATCATGTTTATTGGGTATGGCACACTTCCCGCATCATGTGTATTACATGGCACACTTCCTCGCCACCACATCATGTCTATTGGGTATGGAACACTTCCTCGCCACCACATCATGTTTATTGGTTATGGCACACTTCCTCGCCACCGCATCATGTGTATTGGGTATGGCACTTCCTCCGCCACCCTCGCCACCACATCATGTGTCGCCACCACACATTGGGTATGGCACACTTCCTCGCCACCACATCATGTTTATTGGTATGGAACACTTCCTCGCCACCACATCATGTTTATTGGGTATGGCACACTTCCTCGCCACCACATCATGTGTATTGGTTATGGCACACTTCCTCGCCACCGCATCATGTGTATTGGGTATGGCACACTTCCTCGTCACCACATCATGTGTATTGGGTATGGCACACTTCCTCGCCACCACATCATGTTTATTGGGTATGGAACACTTCCTCGCCACCACATCATGTTTATTGGGTATGGCACACTTCCTCGCCACCACATCATGTTTTGTGGGTATGGCACACTTCCTCGCCACCACATCATGTTTATGGTGTATGGAACACTTCCCACCACATCGCCACCGCATCATGTGTATTGGGTATGGCACACTTCCTCGCCACCGCATCATGTCTGTGTGTATGGACACACTTCCTCGCCACCACATCATGTCATCATGTGTGTATGGCACGCCACCACATCATGTCTATTGGGTATGGCACACTTCCTCGCCACCACATCATGTTTATGGGGTATGGCACACTTCCTCGGCACCGCATCATGTGTATTGGGTATGGCACACTTCCTCGCCACTGCATCATGTGTAGTGGGTATGGCACACTTCCTCGCCACCACATCATGTCTATTGGGTATGGCACACTTCCTCGTCACCGCATCATGTCTATTGTGTATGGCACACTTCCTCGCCACCACATCATGTCTATTGGGTATGGCACACTTCCTCGCCACCACATCATGTTTATGGGGTATGGCACACTTCCTCGGCACCGCATCATGTGTATTGGGTATGGCACACTTCCTCGCCACCACATCATGTTTATTGGGTATGGCACACTTCCTCGCCACCACATCATGTTTATTGGGTATGGCACACTTCCTCGCCACCACATCATGTTTTTATGGAACACTTCCTCGCCACCACATCATGTTTATTGGGTATGGCACACTTCCTCGCCACCACACCATGTGTATTGGGTATGGCACACTTCCTCGCCACCGCATCATGTTTATTGGGTATGGAACACTTCCTCGCCACCACATCATGTTTATTGGCTGTGGCACACTTCCTCGCCACCACATCATGTTTATTGGGTATGGCACACTTCCTCGCCACCACATCATGTTTATTGCGTATGGCACACTTCCTCGTCACCGCATCATGTTTATTGGGTGTGGCACACTTAACGTTTTTAAAATTATTTTCTTCGTGTATTTTATTCCGATTATTAAGCATATACAGTAATTTCTTGCAGAAAGTTTATTTAATTTAAACGCGATACTCGATCGGCTGTTAGGTCTCATTATTTTACAGTTTCTTCTTCCATGTAAAACTTTCCTCCTGCTTCTTTCTTTCCACTTTGATCTTCAAAAGTTTACATTTAATTTTATTTGTTATCTTCTGTCTTTGAATCACTGTTTGTTTATTGTTCTCTCTCCTTAATATTATGTTTTTCCTCATATACTTTCACACTAAGTAACCACTTGCGTCTTAGTGGCTTTATTGCCTTGTTTAGAGTGAAATGATTCTAAAAAAACTGGCACATTTATGTAATTATTTTGTTGTGCTATTGTGAAAATTGAGCCTTACACTTCCTTCTGCGATGTCTGAGAGGCTGCCTATCTCCTTACTGGGGTGCGTATTTAGATAACGACGTGTAATACTATTCTTTCCGACATGTGCATTCCAGATACAGCTATGTTGACCACATGGGCCAGTAGGTCATTTGTAATGTTGACCCTGTACTCCTGAAGAAAACGAAGTTCAAATTATATTCTGGCATGATCGGGGTTAAGACAAAGTTATTTTATAAATTAAAAAAAATGCCTACCTGCATGTCTATTCATTACAGCACTAATATTGACTAATTAAGCTATATATGTCTGCATACGTGTATATCTTCTTTCTTTCTGTCGCTTTTGTCGACATATTCGTCAGCCATTTTTATTCCATTTCTTCTGCTTTTACAAATCATTTTCAAGCCTAGAACTATTTTAGAAAAAAGCGAAAAATTAAATGATTTAGTCTTTTCTCTTTGCTCAATATGAAATTAAGGTGGGCGTATATCTGCGAATTGCCTGGATTTTATTCATTTATCCAGTCCTATTTTAAGGATTTTATTAATCTTTTATTTTTCATTTGACCTCAATTTGCTATTGAAATAACGATTATTGATCTTTTTTAAATTTTAATAATTTTACTTTTGAGTGGAACTTAATTTTGCAGGTGCCATATATAAAAATGTACTTTCTAGAACTTATAGAAAACTTTAAAACTCCACACACATCTACAGATGTAAACGATGCGATATATATTTAGGTAAATATATCATCAGAGCTGTTTATATAACGTTCTTAGGTAGTAACTGTAAATGTAAATAAGAATTCGACGTTTAGTAAACTTGTCTTCAGCTGAGTGAGGATCATTTGTTGTATCGGAAGATATTTGTCAGCCAGTTTTTCTAAATGAAGAATTTGCCTTCGATGTGAAAACTCAAATTCCTAATATTCCTTTCACAGGCTTCCATTAAAATCCTTGACCTCGATCGCAAATACTTTTAATTCGACAACCATAAAAACTAGCTTCCTACATGAATCTGGACTCAACTTAGTCAGGCAAAAGGCCAATGGGATTTTCAAAAATGTGAGTTTGAAGATAGCATTGCACAAAACAGAAATATAAGAAAAAAATGTTTGTTTTGAAAATCAACGTTGGAAAATGTTACAGAATACAGAGGTTTGGTTAGGATGGGCAGCAATTGGTCAGAATACATTGTTAGCGTGGTATCTTGACAGTGATGTATTTCACTTGTCTATGTTTTGGATATAATACCAAAAATGCGAAAAGTCTGCTGAGGGCTGCAGGAATTTTGAAGCATCGATACGAGTTCCGCAACCGAATTCGATAGACAGTCTAAAGCCGCACATGGCAGGCTGCTGAGCCAATAAGTAGACATGCGTTCCCCTAAAGTTCAACCTTCTGCTTCCACCTAGAATCGATGCTATCACGTCTGTCTCTCTCGTATAATAAAACGAAAAAGAAAGCGACTTTCCTTGACACTCCATCTATGAAGTGGCTTTGGGGTGCGACGGGCTGAAGCCAGAAATGTCATTGAATGGAACGTAATAAAAAATTTCAATATTTGTCTATATTTCTGAGATGAGGTATTATGTACACTATTTACATTGTTCGGTCTATCATCCTCATCTTTGTTGCTATATTTATCACAACGTTTCGGTCGTTATACGCTCCGGTCTTCTTCAGATGGTTGGAATGTCGAACTGAACCCTTTATTTCGCTCGCTGGGGTAGACTGTTCTAGTTGCCATGTCTAATGGATGTCAGTTATCAGTTATCTCCTGTCACTTCCCCTCTCAAAGTTCTCCACCGCCTTAACCAGGTATTGAACTCACACTCTTTTGGGTCCTGTAACTGGATCTAACTAACGCCTTTATCCACTGTGCCATGTGTTCTTGAGGACAGATGGAACAGTGGATAAAGGCGTTAGTCCGAGCAATGTAAAAAAAAAAAATTCAAATTCAAGCCATCAAAAAACTAGCATTACATATAGAATATACGTAGTAATAAGAAAACACATATATATTTACAATAAATATTATATTTAGTGCGCGCCCCTTTTTTGAGCAGATCCTTCTAGAAACGGTGCAATAAATGCCTACGGGGTTTTAATTTCACAAGTAAAAAGAAGTAAAACAAATGGCCTTCTCTACTCAAACAACTGTTCCCATTAAATATATATTTTATAGTGATAAGAAAATAAATGAATACCTATATATATATATATATATATATATATATATATATATATATATATATATATATATATATATATATATATGCAAATAAATTTTTCGTCAGCCAGTTATGTGCCATGGGTGATACACGCTTAGGCGTTCATGTATCTTTCAATAAATGACAGACGAGGTAGATTTTTTTCTCGCAGTAGGTTGCCATTTCTTTCTGCGATAGACCAGTTGCCGTTCAAGGCTATAGAACCCGGTCTGCCCTGTTATTTCCCAATTTTTTAGTACCACACCATAATAAAGTAAATTTTAAGACAGGTATCATAATTTAATATTTAATGATTAAAATCGAATAAAATAAATATAACCTAAGGTGCCTTTCGACTGACACTTCGTCAGAAATCAATCGTCAATATTAAAATACTATTGAAGAGGGGAATTTTTAAATAGAATCTTAAAATTGGAAAAAAGACAATATAAGGTTTTATTTCGTTTATTCGATTTTAATTGTCAAATATTAAATTATGTTCCATATATATATATATATATATATATATATATATATATATAAATTGTGGTACTCGTTTGGAAATTCCTCGGATAGCTCAACTTGCAGTAGAACAAATCGGTACCCGAGGAGAAATGGGGAATAAAAAAGAAAGATCCAAGAACATTAAGACAAGGCGAAAACAATCGTCCAGTGTTTAAACTCCAAGTCCAATGAAGAAAAAAAAACCCCGCAAAATCAGTAAAAAGACAACTACGTAAAGTGCTCAATACACTACGTAGATCAAAACCTAAGATAATCCTAAGGAGCCAGGTAAACCTACCTAGGTTTCATCTAAATAGATCTTCAGGGTAACGCCGGATGAAAAGGGAAATTATGGAACAGAATTTATAGCTAAAACCCAAAATAACCATGACCACGTGACAAAAAAATAAATAAATAAAATAATAATAATAAAAGAAAAACATCGGGAGGTATGTACTTTATTGAACAACCAATAAAAAAAAACAACTATTCTAGAAGTTTTTTTTTTTTTTTTTTTTTTTGTCACGTAGTCATGGTTAGTTTTGGTTTTAGCAATAAATACTGTTTCATAATTTTCCTTTTTCCGTTAAAGTGAAACCTACATAGATTGACCTGGCTCCTTAGGATATATATATATATATATATATATATATATATATATATGTGTGTGTGTGTGTGTGTGTGTGTGTGTGTGTGTGTGTGTGTGTGTGCAAAGTTGTATCAGAATCTGGTGAAAGATTAAAAAAAAAAGGATAAATTTGTACGTATATATATATATATCCGTGTGTGTGCATATGCGCGTAAAATATTTTCAGATAGAGTGTGTATGTGTGAAGAAACTAAACGAGTAAAAAGACAAGAGGAAAACTTAGCGTTTCGTCCTCTGAGAGATTAAAATCAAGGCAATGTAGGATTTATTTTGTTGCACGTGTTTATATACAAGAGCGATGTTGTCATTGGTTTATAAAGACCTTTAGATGTGAGAACGTTCATGAATATTCATGAGATGGTTGAAAGTCTCGTAAAAACATGTGGAGGAAAATAATATCTTACAATCGCATTAGCGCAAACTGTTCATGTCATTGTACATTACTTCATTTAAAGAGAGCTACTCTTGTATGGCTTCCTTTTGTGAGTTTTCTGAGTGCAATGACGCTTAAGACTTCAGCAGTAATCGAACAAAATATGGTAATTCATCGACCTTGGGTACCGCTTCTTCATAGTCTTTATGTCTTGGTAGAAAAGTTCTCCCTGGTTTTTACTTACAACGCCAGTGTTTTCAAGTAATCTGCCTAAATGGCTAAACAGGAAGTGGATTTTGATATTTTGGTTCCAAGAGCTTCGAAGTTTTTTAGCATCACTTCAACTAGTTCCTGGTAGTTACCGCTTTTTTGGCAAGGAAGCTTTTCACAACTGCAACAAAAGAGGCTCCCTGCAGCAGCATCAATCTCAATCATTAGGGGAAACAAAATTTTCATCGTTAACCAGTTTTCTTATTTATGTCCCATAAAAATGTCTGCCTTCAGTTTCTCATTATTCAGACCAGGACATTCTGAGCAGATATAACTGAAGCATGCGCCATCTTGATCAAATGCCTTGACAAATAATTTCATTAGACCTAACTTGATATGTAGTTGTGGACAGGACGATGCGACCACGATTAACCAGCGTTTCATTTAGGACATTTTTTGTCCTCACAACAAGTTCTTTACGAATAGGTCAAGCGTTGTTATTCCAGTATTGATCGTTGACTCTGTTGTCCCGTAGAAAACAAAACATGGGACTTGGTAAAACACATTTCTGCCTTAACAAAAAGTTAACCATTTCCAAATCAATACATTTATGTTCATGTCGACACAGTTTTTCTGGAACAATCTTTACACTCGTGTAGTTCATTTTCAAGATCACTGAATGACCAATTGGGATATAAGCAAACTGACCACCATTGTG